ATCCGGCCGGTGTGTCGACTATATAGTGATACCGATTTTCACCCATGTGCGAAAATGAGATTAGTCAGTGTCGTTTCGGGGTGTTGATTCCACCTCTCATCGTCCCCCCTTTTTTACTACAATATAATACAGTCTCTGTTGCAATTGGTGCAGAAACACCGTTTTTCTCTTCTTTTTTTTTTTCTAGCAGCAGCGAAAAAAACGGAAATTGTTGACAGAAACTGTGATTGCTGTCGACGGGTGGGGGATAGGGTGCAATGATGATGATGATGATGCAATTAACCAATCGTGTGGAGGGTTGGTTTGAAATTCCGGGCCCGTGGCATTTTTCTTTTCTATATACAGTATATATATTTTTTTTCGTTCAACGATCGGTCTTCCGCAGAGTTTCTCACGCGTGTTTCTGCGCTCGGTCGTGTTGTGCTGGAAACATTCCGCTCATGCTTCTTCTATTCGAGTCGTAGAAAATGAAGAGAAAATAGGGCCACGTCTGGAAAGAAAATGTAGGTAAAAAAAAATTATAGCAATTTCGTGTGAACATATTCCTTAGAAGTTCTGTTTGAGTCTGTGGTAATATCACAAGGCATCTTCGGCTGCTGTTTTTCTGCGAAAAAACTCAGCAATTGAAAAATCTGGCCCTGTTTTTCGAAAATATTTAAAAAGTTGTATGCATAAACTAACTTGAAAATATGCGTCAAAAACTGTGATTTTCTTCCACGTGGAGCCACAAAATTACAGAATCAAAATAATCCTTCTACTAAATCTCTATATACAGTAGTAAGTTTATTATGATGTCACTTATATTCCGTGAAGATTACATTGAAAAAATACACCCTCCCTCTTTTCGTCACATAATAAAACAATAATATACGCGTGAATGCTCTCAAAATACGTTTCATTAAATTATTTAGTTCCTCTTTCGAAAGCGATTAGGAAAAAATATGTATTTTTGACAAACGTGTTACGGTCAGCAAGCTTCATTGGCAAAACTTCTCTTTGAGAAAAGCATTTCATTCTAACGAAGAGATTTATGCGGCATGTTTTTTGACAAACGAAAAATGTTGAACCATTGGATTATCTGTCGAGTCCCGCACTGGAGAATCATTGAGATAAGGATTCATCCTAGATATCCCTTATTTTTCTATCATATTCTAAAATATTGTTGAAAATCGGATTGTCGGTTATCAGCCGGTTGAATATCGTTTTCCAAGTGCATGATTTATTTTATACTTTACGTGGAGCCAGTGCTAGATTTCATCATGTGATGAATGTAAAATTCATGGCGAAAAAGGACGTGAGCGATTGCCTGGATTGAGTAGGGGAAATCATTATTTTAAAATTTTATTTACGGTGATTACATCAAGATTTTTCCAATTTTACTCGTGTCAAGTTCACAGCTTGAAGTTGAATGTGAGTTACTGGAATTGCTTTCCGCAAAGTTGGTGGGCGTTGAGAATTGACCTCTTGAAGACGAATCACATGCGAGCATGATGAGTACTACTGTACTTGTTTTTCAGTTCTTTAGCTTATGAAAAGTATGTGGGTTCGCCTTAATTTCCTGAGCCGTGTAAGGACATTGAATATGAGCAGCATTTTTTTTCTCGACCTCATCCATCCTTTTAATTTTGCTTTGTTTGCATTGAGCAACCGGATACGAGTTTCAACCCATGGTACTTGCGTTTATGGAAAAGGTGGGAGTGTTATCGCCGAAACACGGGGTTCCTTCCTTCCGTCTAGACAGTGCGCATCTCTTTCGAAGTACCACTTTTTCTCGATTTTCTTTTACCCCGTGTATGTACTGTGTATACATTTTTGGCGAAGGTCTGAAACATTGAGTACTCGACGAGAGACAGAGAACGAGATATTTTTGTAAAGTCAACGAAACGTTGAAGCTCGATTGCCTTGTATCTAAGTGACTTTTATTGTTACCGTTTACACTTGATTTAGCAGCTTTCAAAATAGAACGATGACTTGTGCATCTTTTTGACCAGTGAATCATTGACAGAGATTGTTATGTCAACTCTTGACCACAATAGTTTTTTTCTTGGAATTTTGACAGGCATTGGATGAGAATTATATTTTTTTTAAACCAGATGGACGTATTTATAAAAAAAATTGCACGTCTCATCAGTCATGAAGATGCGATCATTTTGGTTGTTGATACAAAATTCAAATTCGAAACCCAGTTTATGCGCGAATAATTATTGAAGAAAATTTTGAAGAGCGAAGAACTTGTGCTGAATTTACCTTCTCTTCGGAAAGAATCAGCGAGAGGTTTTAATTCAAAGTTGAAATTGTTTTTTTTTAGTCTTAGTGAGGACTTTCTAGTTATTGTGAGAGGATCATCATGATCCTATAGAATTTGTTTGATTCTAATGTTTGCTTTCCTTTACCGAATGTAAAAAAACGGTCTCTTTTGAAAATGAGAGAATGGATCAAAGGTTTTTTGGTGCGTAAAAATGAAAACCTTCGGAGGCCCAGATTTTTTAGTCGAAAGTCTTATGTAGGATTTAAAAAAAAAGNGTGCGTAAAAATGAAAACCTTCGGAGGCCCAGATTTTTTAGTCGAAAGTCTTATGTAGGATTTAAAAAAAAAGGACGTAAAACGAGCCTTGATTTTGTTGTACTAAAAATGCGAAATTACTGTGCTACAGTTCTGCGTTGGACAATTTTTTTTACTTACGAAGTTCCAATCGAGGTACACTTTGACGATAGGTAACAATAACGCTAGAAACAATTTTCTACGAGGGTGGTGTTAATATCAAATCCATTGGGAATAATACTTTTTTTTAAGTTTTAAAATTACTTTGGCGATCTTGAATTGCCTTCGAACGCATTAAACATGCAGGTGTGGCAAATGAACGTTCTTCCCTCAGAGTAAGGTGCCCATCAAAGTTTTGTATCTCCATTGAAACCCGACTGAGAATAAAATCAACGATGGTCAGGAAATTAAAGTACCCTTTTTCGGCGATGTTACGTCCATTGCGATCCATCTTAAAACGCAGTAACAAGACAAATGACATCAACGACTGAGAAAATACTGCATATGAATTGACCCCTCGCTGTGTATTGACCCTTTTTTCACCGTGCACGATAAACGAACGCAAACAAAAATCAATCAAATAAACGACTGAAAATCACTACTGAGGACTGTAATCACAGAAATTGCAGCGAAACGTGCAATTCCTGTATGACGAATGTGGCAATTATTCGCGAGAGTCGAACTCGACGTTTATCCAGCAGAAATCGTTCTTGTCACTCTGGTATTTTTGCCTTTGTTCTGCTCATCCGCATGACGAATCTCGCGAAGAAAAAAATATATATACAGGAGTGGGATACCAATACTGATAGGTTTATTCCCCATAGTACCTCTCGGAATTTCTTAGTTGCTCCAGGAATTCACTCCCGGGGATCGCCGCCACTTAACGAAGCCGTGCCTCGGTTACAACTCATCGAAACGTGCCGCTTGAAAAACGAGTGGATTAAGTCATCCGGCAGTCAGTCGAGCCCATCCCAGCGTTCCGTCATCAGCAATCCGCCAGTACTTGACGAGAATCATTGATAAATCAACCGAACTTATTGAAAAAGAAAAGAAAAAAAAAACAGTTTGAAAAAGTTTGTGAAGTCGAGGATCGTCTGTGTGTGGCCAGCTTTGGACGAGGATCCGAGAGGCAGGAATTGCGTGAAAAACTTTTTACTGCTACCAACCCCCCCCCCCCCCCCCGCGTGGATTGTATTTAAATCCCAAGTCACGCCCACATTCTTCCTTCCTACATGGTCAATTATTCCCTGATTATTCAAATTGATCCTCGGGTCTTCACTGCGTTGTACTTGAGGTATTTTCACTCGAACATCCCGCCACATTTTATCGCGGCGTTGACAGCGTGCATTTTGAGCATTTTCAGATTCCATAAAAATATATTTTCAGAGTGGGCTTGAAAATTAGCGCAAAAATGTTCATTTTCTTCATCCTCGGTATACCGGTTCATCAATTCCACAGTAAAATAATGATACTCAACAATTGAAAAAATATATAAAAAATCATAGCTCTGTCAACAAATATAATTAGGAGTGAGTGACCTCGTTTGGCTGAATGCGTGGTTTTCATAAATCAATAGAAAATTGTGGAATACAGGACAAAAATACCCATGTTTGAAAAATTAAATAAATTCAGTTGGATTTACCGTGCACCCAAATGTATAAATTTATTTTTCAATATTGTTCGCTGTTGAGATGTAAGCTATCACTGTTTTGTCGCAATTCAAATTATTCTGATCATCACAAATGTATTCTCCATTTCGAAATTTGAAACGGTTTGGGTATCATCATTAAATTTCCTCGATGAAGAACCCTTTCAAGCTTGTCAAGATTACTTCAGCTTCACCCAAATTAGTTTAACAAAACTGATTTTGTCTATATATGTGGTTATGAACGAAACTCAAACAAAAGGTATATGCCTGTGTTTTGCTTGGAAAAGTATTAGTGTTAAAGGTGGGGCTTTTAATTGTTAAAAAATTGTTGCATGTGGAAGCAGAAATTTGTTTGAAGGATGCATTCTTCCTTATACTCATGTGTAATTCAACGAGGATCTCACACTTTGAAGTACCGAATGAGTTTAAGTTGTGGTGTCAAGTAAATTTAGAAAGGGATAAAATCCGCGGAATGTCCGTGACCTTTAAATAAGACAAGGTGAAGCGCAAATGCTGAAAAGTCACTTGCGATGCGATGGAAAGAGTTCCTGGAAACAAGGAAACGGATTCTAGAAAATGTATGCAAAGCCTTTCGTCACTCAAGCCCTTGCCCTCCGTCTGTCAAACGTTGCTTGAACCAGTCGGAAACCCAGCAGTGTACCTTCCTCGCCTTGACCAAGTTTCTTCCGCATTCAATTCGAAAAAAGGAGAATACTACAGATATTTCAGGAGGGAAACGAGGAAATAAATAGAAGAAGGGCGTGAGAAAATAAAAAAAAAATTGCGAGCGCGAGGCGTCGAGTTCGCGATGATGAAGGCGTGGATTTTTGCACTTCTATCGTGGACTTGCATTTTGTGCTTGACAGCGGACGCGCAAAAAAGATGCTCGGAGACGCAATTCCAGTGCAAAAACGGGGATTGCGTGGACAAGCGACGGGTTTGCGACTCCGTCCCGGATTGCACTGACGGATCTGACGAGGAAAGCTGCAGTGAGTGTCGATTCTTTTCTGCGAAAAGCTTCCTGAACACTTTCAATCTGTTCTCAGCTGCTGTCATTACCTGTGTTATTTTTGCGGAAGAACCACATAAGCTTTATGTTCCATTTTTAGAAGTTCTACTCGGCAGCTTCTTGATATCCACACGTACTTTCCTAAAAAAAATCCTTTTCAAAACTAGGGAAACCCGGGGATAATTTCCTATGCCTAATAACCCGTATTAACCCGAAAGAAATCATTCGGAAGTGTAAATTTAAAAATGGTTTGATTGGCGATTCACCGAAATTAAAAATGTTCTTCGTAGTAAAAATTTACGTTCAATCATCGAAGGTTTGTCAAGCTGCACTGTCCGGTTTCCGAACGCTGTAAAATTATCCAAAAATAGTCAGCCATGTACAATTTTTTAAATCTTTCAAGTTCATTTTCCAGTTGTCAGAGGATTCTTCGCAACTTTACACCGCACCGCAATTTAGTCAGAAGATGGTGAATGGAAAAACATAATTTAAACTGGCGGTCGATTGCAGCTCCTTTGTCCCATTTTCACATGTCTTTTGTGAACAAATTCTCAAAAATTTTATAATTTCTCTATGAGTTGGAGAAAAATGCACGTATTTTTCCATTTAGATCACGGAGACATGAGGAAGCTATATCATGCCGCCTGCAGAGCCTTTTTGATTTTATTTCGCATTCTAAAGAATAAATTGTCGATGCATTTTTTAAATATAAATTGAAATAATTTTCTGAAGGGGGAACTGTTTGGCACTGCTGACTACTTGTAAATTTTTGAATGAAAAATTACTACATTTTTAAGTTGAATTTTTTTTTCGAGCGCAAGCGAAACTTTAGTTATTTGTTTTCTTGAAATGATATGCACGAAAAAATCAGCGTTTGAGCCTTAAAATTGCTTCTCGGCGTTCAATCCGTAAAATTTCAAGATGACAGTGAAATTTCTCTGTTTTGCAGAACACATCATGGGAATAACCTCTTATGATTACAGTATTAAACAGAAAAAAATTGAACCAAAGCTGCCAAACTTTACGCAATGCTGCGGAAGTTTATTTGCGAGAATAACTGGCCAGTGACGAAATTATGATCGCAAGTACTTTGATTCGAAGAAGTAATTACAAATTGTAATCTTGAATATCTATGGAAACAGCAGTTCGTCCGAAGTGTCTTGAATGAGACAGACAAATTAGTCACAACTTTGCATACTTCACCCTTGTCCCTTGATATGTCAGAAATCCTGTTCGAAGGAAGTTCTTCTTGATAAAAATGCTAATAGACCGTGTGAACGAAGATGCATTTCTCGTGAGAAATTGGGCTATGCGAATTTATTCTCAGAATGTGCCGATGACGAGTTCAGGTGCGTGTCAGACGGCAAATGCATTCCCATGGATTTGCGATGCGACAGTATCTTGCTCGACTGTGACGACGGCTCTGACGAGGAAGGATGCGGTGAGTTTTTGCCATTAAAAAAAAAATTCAGCACTCTATATTCGTTTAGATGATAGACTTGCATTTTGTAGTTGCTAATAGTTCAATAGTCCTCTTCTGGGCAAGCGTTTCTTTTTTTTCGACGCTGGCGTATGTGTTTTTTTTCTTCTAAAATTGTCGGGTCGTGACTAAGATTTTTTGTTTTTGCACCCGGGCATGATCCAGTCTCTGGGTGCAAACCGAAACTGTTCGAATGCAAGGATGAATCCAAAATTTGCATACGCCTGGAACAGCGATGCGACGGTATTAACGACTGTAATGACGAAAGCGATGAGAAAAATTGCAGTGAGTTGAGAACCCCCTGATTGATCCCTACAAAATTGAACCCCAAAATGCCTGTCTGCTTACCCAAGTGGAAATCTCTATATAGACAGTATACGGTCTTACAGATAATACCGTGTTTCTCAGTAAATAAGGCCTAGTCTGGGAGTAAAGCTGCAGGTCTAGACCTATTTTTAGACACTATTCTGAGTGTAAGTTTTATCCTGAAGATATAAGCCTTCACCCGAACAATAAGTTTGCCTTTTTCTCGATCAACATTCAACGTCTCACAGGCGAACTTATATCTATGTATTTTCAAGTTGCTCATTGTGTTAATAATCCTCATGGATTATTTTGCAGCTAATTTTTAAAATTTCGTTAGTTTTTAATGCAGGTGGACTCTCTACAACGAACTTCAATGGGACAGCAAAATCCATTGTAGAGAGAACATTGCTGTCAAGAACCCCAGTACCATAGGAAGAGAACCCTATTGGACCGAACACATATTTGTTAGACAGAGAATTTTGTGATTTTTTCATGGACAAGATCGTTGTATAGAGAATATGACACAAGAACCCCATTAGAAACGACTGAAAACGTAGAACACACGAATTCCGATTGTAAATCAGGAATAATTATATTTTTCGAGTAAAAAGTAGGAAATCCTCGAATGCTGATCAGGATCCAGCAATACTGTAATATTTTAATAATAATAACGTTCAATATTTTACATGAAATGGTCTTATTTTTTGGGAAACACGGGAGCACGATAAAGCAGCTTTAGAATGTCAAACTTTTGCAAACATCTCAATTTTTAGCTGGTGCTGAAGATTATAGCACGTTTGCGAGGGATTTAATTCGAAAAAAAAAATCTGTCGAAATAATTCTGAATGGATTAACTGGGGAAACTTCTTCGAAATTTTTTCAAAAGTAAAACAGGTCGAAGGGAAATTAGCTCACTCGAGTTTGTGTCTTTTTCGATGTTTGGTTCGCACGTGCGAATGCGAATTTCCTCTGTGAAGGGCTCACTTGTCGTCAGAACGAGTTCGAATGCAAATTGTCCCGCAGATGCATCAGGAAAGACGAAGTGTGCAATGGAAAGACGGATTGTCCCATGAAAGAGGATGAGTCGAATTGCGGTGGGTTTGCGGTGTTGTTGTCACCTCGATGATGGGAATTCCTTGTCTGCGGCTTTTTCTTCCGATTTTTTTTTTGCACATCCCGTTTTGAGTGTGCTATATAATAACTTCTGAACCCTTCCCCCGAAATCCCTTCTACCAACATCGCACCGCTTTTCTGGCAATCTGGTTTGCTTCGAATATACATACCCTGGCTTGGTCTTCGCGAAACTTCCAGCATTCTCAACTTTCCCCGTCATTACGTTCATATACGTTCAGGATTACGTAGATATTGTAATAAAATTTTTCGCTGAAACTCATTTCAAGCATCGATCGGGAATATTATCTAAAAATGAGACATGTAAATTGAAAAGAATCACTGGGTGAAACTCTCTCCCTCTTTTGCGATTTAGGTTACATCAGTGCTATTTTCCAAGCAGCGTTTTTTTTTTTTTTTTCTTTTTGACCTACAGGACTAATATAGACATTTTCTTCTTGAATAAGTAGTTTTTATACATAAAAAACCATATTTCGGAAAAACGGCGCAAACAATTATAGTTTTTGCCATCTTGAGAGTTGCTGCATGGAGAATAAATAATCCGACTATAATTTTAAAGAAATCGATTTCATTTTATAAGCATGAGAGTTTTTCAATGGCTATAAATAAAAATATGTAATCCCCTGAAAAACTAAAAGACTTGGTTGGAGGAAAAGTTTTAATTACGAATACAATATAAAGATTTCACTCTCTTCCTCGTCAGGGCATATTTTCCAGAATTTTCTCAGTTTAAAGCCTTCTTGCTTCATGACCAAGGGAGTCAATTCGGCATATAACATGCATTTTAGTTAATTGAAACACATTTGATAAGGTTTCCATGTTGTTTTTTTTTTTTTTTACCTTACGAACGAAAATAAAGAAAATGCTTAACGAATCCCTTTCATATTGAACACTTCAGTCAACAAAGGCTATTGTCTTTCATCGAAACATTAAAAGAAACCACAATCGTTATTTGTGAACCCGGAACATGCAAAAATAATTACTGTATTTGTTTCATTATTCTTCACTCAGCAGCCTGGAAATATGCTCATGAGCTTTGATCTGCACGTTAATGTACGTACTGTATATCAATCTGTGTAAATTTTCTGTACTTGTGCTTCAAGGACGCTTCATGTTTATTATTACATTCAGATACAACTTCGGTCACCAATCAGCAGACAAACGCGCATTTTTCGTGACGTGATAATCTGAAAATGTTCAAAATTTTAAATGTTATAATGAATGTATATTTCGTTGTCTGCTGTATTATCTGGAGTGAATTGAGGAAAGTAGGCTTTTTGTGAATTGACTGGATGAACGTTTTGCAGACCTACGCCACAAAAAAAAAAAAAAAAAAGAGCGCGACGAAAAAACTTCGTGAAATACTGGCTCCGCTGTGAATAAATTCCTCGCCACCGGTGTGCCCTTCGTGTTCATTCACGAGCTTCATGGCCGGAAATCTCGGAAGATTGATGGAAAGCGATCATTGAATATTTTTTACGTCCTTCCCCGCACGTTCCCAAGTGTATCCTGCGAGAAAAAAAAAAAAAAAAACCGGCTACACTCGATCACGCTTCCGTCCTGACCTTTATTTTTTCCCTCCTCTGTATAAAGGTGGGAATAAGAAGACTTGCAGGGGTCAATGGGTGAAAATAGTAGCAGGTTCTCTTTTTCTCCCCGTTTGTGTGTACTGGGAGTGGCATTTCCGCATTTGATGTTGAGTTGAAACTTCAGCGTCTCGGATGCCGATGATTGTTAGCTTCTCTCAAATGAGGGAGTGTAACTGACGTCTCATAAGAAGATTCCCCTTGATTTTTTTCTATCTTTCTTTCAATCGTCTCACGCGGTGTTACAATGATAGATGCTTTCAAAATTTAAATAAGAGTCAACATGGAATCTCCTAATTAATTCCTGACTGACTCCTCGAATCGCTCGGCCAACCCAAATGAAAATGTAGCTTGGCTGGACTGACGATGAGGGACGTCTCAGAAGTCTTTTTAATCATCTACGCTATCGCCATCGTCTAAAAAAGAAATTGTCAAATTTCAGAGATTTATTTTTAGATAAAAATGTCCCTTACATTCCTTGGAGAACCATTTGAGAAAAATACATTGTACGAATCAGTTTCAGTAACCGCAAGAATATCATTGTGAAAGTTAGCATGTATTAATTGCGTATGACTTTTTCAAGGCCTGCCCATTAAAAAAAATTAAAAAATTATACACCATTTTTCAAAAACTGTTCTGAATTTCACTGATGCCGCTGTTGGTGTTTTTTGGTAAGTGTTCAGCTAAAAGTTGTAACATCCGTTTATCTATGACGTTATGTCTGTGAATACATTTGCAGGTGACTCCATCCATCTACAATGAAATTCAAGGGACCAGAAAAAATCGATGTAGAGAGAATTTTGTTGTAGACAACCCTCCCAACATTGGAAGAGGATTGCATGAGCCAGACAAAAATTCATTATGTAGAGAGAATCTGTGTAGAGAGAGTCTACCTTTAAAAGAAAATCAAGGTTATTTCAGTTGCAGGAAATTCTTAAAAATGTTTTACAAGTAATAGGACTATTTTTTCAGGAAATAATCAAAAAGAACTTTAGCTTTTAGAGTTCTATTCATTTCATTCCGCAGTATGAATAACATTGGAGGTAATAATTATTGTGAGGAAAAGATTAACAGGGGATCTTTCTTTTACCACACAAAAGGCAGAAACATGAGAAGTCGAGAAAATACAAACTTCGTAACTGTTTTTAGACAATTGAGAGAGAAATAAAACGCAATTCAAACAGCCGGGCTACGGCCGGGACTTCTTGTCCTAGTTTAAAGTGTTGTATTATTCAAGACAGGTTTGAGTTGAGCAGTTGAAAGAATTTCACAAGTACAAGAACAGAAAACTGATTTTGAAATTGGTTAAGATTTGACACATGCAAATTTGCAAGAGTTCTCTGAAGATCTGTACGATTTGAGAGTTCAACGCAGAGTGACAAACCTGTGGTTTTTAGTTAACCACAATAACTTTTTAGATTAGAAATGAAGGCCGGATTTTGGCCACTTTCATTCTTCTCCTTTTTAGCAGTGAGGAAATGTCCTTGGGTGAGCCTGGGAACCAAACCTGGGTTCGGTTCTCAGGCTTGCAAAAAAATGCGTTGAAAGATTTAGTTAATTTTGTCTGGCGTCTTTAAATTGTTGCAAGAATTACTTGAAGGTTTGAATTTTTTCCTGACAATTATAACGGGCTGTAAATGATTTCCATTTTATGTTAAAGGGATGCACTTATTTAGATTTTGACAAGAAGATTGTCGCGAATCGGCTGTCAGGTTTCATTGTAGTGCAAATTCGTTGGCGAAACGCTGCAGACCTTTTGAGAAACCCCTCGTCGAAGACTCTCAGTCTATTTCCCTGAACGATTCCAGCAGTCAGTACTCCATATTGTCTGACGAATGAATGCAGATTTAAGGCACGATTTATTTTATGCGCTCAGAATTCAGGAACGTGTCGATTCTGCGTGCGATGGAATCAAGACCAAAGTAATATCTTGACCCTGATGATCACGTTCGCTCCTTCGACTCCCAAAAGAGCCTCGGTTTTGTCGCGATGAACGTGGTGTTTGCGTTGCATGAATTGCCCTTTGATCCACGACGCAATTATGGGATTTTTGTCTAGAGTGCATGAACTGCATCCCATTTCCTGTATACGCTTCATACTTTTCGTTTGTTTGACTATTGCCGTGTGTAGAGCAGTTGAGAGAGCTTATCGTCCGATTCTGATGCATGCATGCATTTCCAGGGAAATTCGTTCAGCAGAGATCAATAACTCCGACGATAGCCTATATGTTTGAGTTTTGCTGGTAGATTGTTCGTTTTCATTTATTTTTCTTTCTCCCCGAGCTGTATCATGTTTGCTTTCTTTTTTTTTACTTTAGGAGAGTTTGGGCATTTCATGTTTTGGATTAATTTTGTTGTTTGTTGTTGTTTTGCAATCGATTTAAAATTCAGAATGCACATCAAGCCAGTTCAAGTGCAGAGACGGAAAATGCATACCATTGAGCGAACGTTGCGATTCCGTCCTGAATTGTGCCGCCGGAGAGGACGAACGTGGATGTGGTGAGTTCATGTTGTCAAAAATATTTATTTTTTATTTTTTTGGCCTTGAATTTTTGGAGAACTCCGAACTTATGTCGGTGTACACTTTTAGGCGTACGAATTTTTGCTGTATATCCATCCGTTATGTCGTTGAACCTATAGTTTTACTCCTTGTGATAAAAAGGTATATTTGCTAGTTGCAAGAGTTTCCGTTGATAGCAGAATATTTTTGGCCTTTCAGTTGCAATATTTGAACTTATGTTTCGCTATAGCTTCAGTTGAGCGCTGCAGCTTTACATTATTTTGTGGTGTCGGATGCCGAGCATATTGCTATGGAACGCTTCGGTGCACTTAAGTTTGATAGTGAAGTTATTTGTTTTGCGAGTAAAAATTTTATTTTCTGCTAGAATGAAAATCCGTGAGATGAATTCAATCACCAGGTTGGGGCTTCGCCGACGGTTCACTTTCACGTTCGGCGAATTTTTTTGCACAGCTTCTGCAGCACAGCTTAAGTGTTGTTAGCGGTGGCACCTCATTAATTATTGCACATCGCACTTGGAGTTTATTTGATTGAAATTCCCGCAATTTGACTTGGCAGGCGGTTAATTCGCAGATTTGAAAAATGACGTACGAGGGTTGGTATGTTGATTCAAACTTTCTTCTTGAGCTTTCGAATTTGCGATAGTTGAACAGGTTTCAGCGCCAGAATCTTTAAAAGCTTTGAAATATCAATGAAAAAGATTGAAGAAAGCTTTCGTTTATTTACTGAGCTAGACTTTTTTGCTCCAGTTCTGACTGTGCACTATTCTTGATCATAGATTGACATTCCACGGCATTCAGAATAAATGATGAAAAAGTAATAAGATGAAAAAGCATTGTCTTTTGGGCGTTTTTTTATGAAGCTGATTCTTGTATGTGCTAGTCTTGAACAACATTTTACATGCGGTTTGAAATATCTGTTAGTTTTTTTACGAAGCCTTAAACGACACAGTCGTCGGAAAAGATCAAATTTTATCATTCAAAAATATAGAAATGTCCCTAATCTAAAGAGGAAAAAGCATAGATTGAACTGTTTGCTGGGTACCAACCTTCGTATTTTGCGAGAGGCAAACATTTTTAAAATTAAAGCGTCATAAGTATTTTTTTATATATTTCCAGCGTCAAAAGCATGTTTTGTAAAATATATTATATGTTTTCGGAAAACAGTTTTTCAGGGGATTAGCGAATGACCTCCAAGTGTGATAGTTTCGTTTGTCTCACTGGGTGGGGTTTAATTGGTTTGCTTCGCCGTACACCTTCGACAGTCGACACTGGGACGATTTCCACTATCGTCACTGTCCCGCCGAAGACGTGCAAGTTCGACGATGTCCCGTGTTCCGACGGGACATGTGTTTCTTATTCTAAGCAGTGTGACCGAGTGAAAGATTGTCCTGACGGAGAGGATGAGATTGCTTGCGGTAATTAGTTCTCTATCTCTCTTCTGCTGCTGGTGGCTATATCTAAATCGTCCTTCATCCATCCATCTCTCTCTCTCTCTCACTCGTTTCCTCGGAAAAGAAAATTACACTGGAACGAACAGATGACCAGTGTCGACAAAAATGCCTCTCCGTGAATAACTTTAATTCCTTTCTGCCGCGGATGTGAAGAAACCCGAGAACCTAGAAATTCTGGCCGTTATACTGTATAGACGCGCGCGTAAAAAAAGTCTAATGTTACCTCGATTGCTGCCGGAAAAACGAGCTTAAAAACCTGAGCTATGACAAGTATGCGATTTGACATTCCGTCTATTTTTAATGTCCACGATTAAAATTAAATTGTGGCTTGGGGAAAAAGAAAACGGAGGAGACAGTTATATTATTGCCGACACCTGATCCAAGCTTAGTCCCGCCGAGAGTTCATGAATTTTCGACACTCGCGCGGAGGTTGATGGTCTTTTCTTTCTTTTTTAAAATTTCCTTTTCTTCTCGCTTCCTTTTTCCTTCAGTCAATCTTCATTTCCATTCCTGATTTTATTTGGTCGTTTTTACCATGCACAGTATTTTATGCTTTTGTCCCATCACGTTTGCTGTAGCTTACTGCGAAGCTGACCAGTTTCAGTGCGGAGACGGAGAATGCTTATCCATGAAAGTAAAATGTGATGGATTCGCAGATTGTAATGATGCTGCCGACGAGCTTAATTGTGGTATGTTTTTCTGTTGCGAAATTGATGCTGGGTGAATTTTCAAAAATCGAGGAATTTTTCTTGATGGTCTGCCATATTTATTACGTCGGCCTCAGGCGTTTACGGTGATGGTGCCTAAAAAAGTATTGTATCTGGCTTTTCTTAATCCGTTCTCTTCATCATTGCATTCTTCAGTGACTGGAATCATTTTACTGAGGATAAATCTTTCAACTGATTACAGTATATAGAGGCATGATTCCTGATTCACCTGAAGAATGCAGTCGAGGAAAATTTTTCGAAATGCACAGCAAGAGCACAACTGACTCGGTTTCGGAGATTTAACTGGAGCTTTTTTGACGTTTTTTGTTGTCGATGCTTGTGTTGAGTAGCAATTTTTTTCCTTTTTGGGTGGTGGTGGGCAAGATTTTTGTAAGTTGGTCATAATGCAGTATTTTCGCCACAGTTGCAGGACTTTATCGACGTTGGTTTACGTTTGCTTCATTTGCTTGTTGATTTGCTGTTTATTAGGCGAGTGTCGACCATCAGATTTTCGTTGCGATGACGGGGCTTGCATCAATCTCAGTCGCAGGTGCGACGGATATGACGATTGTTTGGATGGTGGGGACGAGAAAGATTGTTCCTCCACTGGATCCAGTTAGTAGTTCAATACTTTCGCAGCGAATATAATCCATCAATCCCCTCCATCAAATTTATTTTGTTTCCGAGAAAAGGGAAGCAATTGTAATGTCTTGCAGCGAAAGCTGTAAAAACTCGCTCTGGGGAAGGTATATGAACATAAAAATTTTTCTTGAGCTTTCTTGGACGCTTTTTTCGTACAAAAGCTTTTGTATGATGTGGTATTGTATACAGTACTCTTTTTTTATGGGTTAAATCGTTGTATATGCCGTATTTGCGCTATTCTAAGCCACGTGCGAGTGCAAATCGCACTTAGATTATAGGCAACCCATTTCAGGGGAAAAAATATGCGTACAGGTAATAAATATAGAAATTTCGGTCATAAAGCGGTAGTCCAAAAACATAATTTCAACTATTCATAAAATTCCCCATAGTGCCTTATGCTGTACAATAAGAACAATAGTCCCCGGGTTGAAAATTTAGAAGGGACTATATTGTCAACATTCCCTTTTACAAGCATGAAGGGAGTTGAGAAAAATCGTCATGAATATAATTGGTAAAAAAAAATATATTGTTTTATGAATTCATTTACACATTTTTCCTCAAATCGGTTCCCAAATGTTTACTCAATATTCAATCAATATTCACTGTGCTTTGTGTATGAGAGGCTTTTGATGCGATTTCTATTAAAATTCCTTGCACTTGAAATTTTGTTATTATGCTGTAACTGAAATTTCATTAGTGGAATTGCAACTGTATCAATTTTTTTGAATTTAGTGACATTTAATTAGTCTTCCAAATTTCAGTCATCGTAAATCGTACGAAGATATTTTAAACATTAGATGCATCATGATAGAGTATATGCATGAATATCTTGAGCATGGGTCGTATCATTTTTAGCTTTCAACACATTGTTTCAAAAGAAATACGTGGCTTATCATGGAGTATATACGGCAAAATTATTATAGCCGTGCAGTTTTTGTAATGATAGTTTTTCCAATTTGGTTTTCACATGCTTGTCTTTTTCATGGTGCGGGTCGAGGTTGGTTGATAGTTCAGTGTGTAGACCCACGTATCTCATCGTTTGTTCCACTGGTTCAAATCGTAGTTTGAAAATTTCGTAAACCTGCTGTTTTTTGGTAAAATTTTTCCGTTAACGAGTAGTGCTTTGAGTTGTTTGTGTGTTTTGGATGTATTTAGGTTTGCTACCGGAACGGTGTCCAAATGACAAGTTTTCCTGTCGGGACAACACATGCATCGATCCAAGATTGCGCTGCAATGGTCAAAGGGACTGTCTTGACGGCTCTGACGAGGAAGATTGTTCTAGTAAGATTTTTAGCAAATTAAACTCCGGAATCTGCATGCGATTNGTTTTCCTGTCGGGACAACACATGCATCGATCCAAGATTGCGCTGCAATGGTCAAAGGGACTGTCTTGACGGCTCTGACGAGGAAGATTGTTCTAGTAAGATTTTTAGCAAATTAAACTCCGGAATCTGCATGCGATTAAAAAAATGTAAACCAGCCAAATATTACAGCATTTTGACGATGGACTGTCATAAAACTTGATTAGCTTCTTTATTTCTATAGCGTCGTAATGTATATAGATTTAAAAGTATTCTTCATTCGTCTTATGAATATCGGTCAAAAGTTTTGTAGTTTTTATTCATGATTTGGTTCATCATTTTTGGTGGCAATATCATCACGCAATTTCGAAAAATTTCTCACTTTTTGCTGAAAATTGTTCGATAAAATTATTTAATTGGGCTTGAAACATCGTCTTTTTCGGAATGAGTGCTGAATCGAATCAAGATATAATTATTTGTGCATTTCTTCCCAGAGGGGGGAGAAATGAATAGATTTGGACTCCGCGAGGAAAGAAGAGGATAAAACTGTCGTTGTATGGAGAAATGGAAGATTATACAAATAACTCGCTGTGGCTTGACCATCTCGTAGTGTAATAGTATACGGACTACGATAGTCAGTCAAGTGTCTCTGGAAGTAGCTCTGAGACATTCGTCGCTTTTGCTTTTGTCCGAGTAGATCTTGCATTCCATTTAGACGTCAACTGGCCGAGCGAATGGCTGATGATATTTCTTGCGGTCGTTTTCACGGCCGCTTTTCACAAAGGCCCTGGATTGACCTAGGGTCATTTCCGAGACACGTGGCGCAGATTCCCTCCAACAATATATCCCCCTGGAATTTTCTTCACATTTTTTCTCCTTTGTCCTGGGTGCCTTACACCTCGCCTGCTTAAGGCGACAGGCCTGCCTAACACGTAGTCGCCGCGGTTTTTTACGCTGCCGATGTCGCTGACAAAGCTGTCGTCGCTGCTTGCCTTAACGGCACTCAGCGAATTCATCAATTTGCAAAATTTTTATTTTGTAGCGATATCGTATATCACGGTTGAATTGCGATTCCGTCCAATTGGTCACCCTGCATACACGGGTGATTTGGACGGAAATATTGAAGCCGCAATTTTTCAGAATCAACTGTGTTTCCGCGCGAAAATATGCCAGTTTGCTTTTAATTAGCTACCGTACTGAAATTGTGCAGAGACACTATGCTAATTTTTAGGGTTGGGCCTTTATTTGCAAAAGGTTCCAATGACTTGAGTAACACTATAGTTTTGTTGGACTTTTTTTTAACATTCCCTCTGTTGTATTCTTGGGAAGAAATTTAAAAGCATGCGAATGGTGAATTTCTTTTTAGCTTGGACAATATACAGTACCGTTACTTCTGATTATACATTTGATGACGATAATTGCAAGCAAAATTGATTCCCATTTACTGGTAAGTTATGCATCAATCCGAAATTTTGTGGCTGAGTTTTACCGAAATTTCATTGAAAGTGGAAGGAGTGAGGACAATGAATATAGCGTTATTTATTCATAATTTTTGAAAAATTCCGAAGGTTCGATTTTTTTTTTACCAGGATCATGTTCCAATTAGAAAAATAAATGAGATTTTTTCAGTTAATTTATCCAGGCACGAAAAACTTGTTAAAGGGATAGGCAGAATTTTCATATGACTAACCTCTTAAAAATGTCTCCAATGATTTTTTAAAATAGTTTATATTCTTGTTTGGGCTATTATAATTTCTTCGATGGTCAGTCGGAGATGAATTTCGAAGATGACAAAGTTTCTCGATTCATTTTGTCACTGTTTTTAGGGAAACCATGGCTTGAAGCTGCATCTCCGAAATTTTGAGGCGATTGAAGTATTTGTGATGAATATAATGACAGTCACTAATTTTCTGATGACATTTACGAGACATGCATTGGCATGTATGGGGAAAAATCGTCTACGTAGAAGTCAAAATTTTTGAAGTTCATCTCCAATCAATTCGTGCCATAAAAAACCTTTTTTCAATCAAGCAAAAATTTAAATGTGCTAGAACTTCACGAATACTCAAGTTACGCCGTTGTCACGTGGGACTTTGGCCGTAAATCGCTAATGTTTTCTTTTGGATGCACGAGTAACTAATAGCTGTCGATTAACGATCTGTCCTCATTGTCCTTCTTTATTTTTCTCCATTTACGTGTAATCCCATGATAGTTAGCAGGGCCGGCCTAAGGCGGGTGCAGCGGGTTCACTGCACACGGGCGCCTGGCTAGGGGGGGCGCAAAAATCAGTGCCAGAGTTGGCGCAAAAATCAGACCTGAACCGGGCAGTAAGGAGGGGGTGTGCCAGCATGATGAGGCGCCAGGCACCTCATCATTGATTGACTCATTGATGAGGCGCCTCATCATGCCGGCAAAATTATTTACTTTCAAAACTTCAAGATTGACAA